TATAAAATGTTTTATATATTTTGATCTTGGTGTTGCCAGACAGACATTTTGACTTTAGCCGATGTTGAAGGGCATAGTATACTTTATTTCTAGATTGTATTCTAGATTGTATTTCTTCTCTCAGCATGTTGGAGCAGTTGAAGTTTGCACCCAAGTACTTATGTTTCCGTTTGTTTGATTTTTATATTATCGACTTGGATGTGGCCGGAATTTATATTCTTTAAATGTCTAGTTAGTATTCGTACAGAATAGTAAACATTTAAAAACATTTTATGTTTTGCATCCTTCAGTCAGTCTGTGGTAACTAATAACTAGAAATGAAAGAATGCTAAGTATTATAACAAGTACCTAAACTTGGAAATTGTCACTGACAGCTTAGTTAATGCATGAAAGCTGCATTAGCTTTCAACAAAACCAATCGTTCCATGTTGTCAGTAATAGGGCCGTGTATGCAGAAGCTGGTGTAAGGTAACTACTATTCGTATTCGGCCGAATACTGAACAGTCAATAGGTCCACTATTCGGCCCCGAAGCGAATATTCGGTACAGCAATAATATATATACACACACATATTAGGGCTGTATTCGCTTCGTATTCGTATTCGGCCGAATAGTTGCGGTCGGGCCGAATACGAATAGTGGTTACCTTACACTCATTTCTGCATACACTGCGATGGACTGAAATAATTCTCTCATTAACACAATAGTTGCTGTTGCCCAAGTTTGTAGTAGCGGGAAAATTGCGACTTGGTTGTGTTGTACAGCAGCTGGCAAAGTCTTGTCTGCTGACTCGACCGAGGCATTACAGCAAAGGTTCTCAAACTGGGTGCGTACGCCAGGGATGCTGGGGCAAAAGTGAAGAAAAGTCGCCTATAAATTGTAACATTATTAAAGAAGACATAAAGATACTTGAGATACTTTCCTCACCACTGTCGAAAAGAGCACAGGCGACAGGCAATAACTGCACTGTATAAAATGAAGAACATCTTATGCAATATATCTTTGCCATGGAAGGTTAGAAAAATAATTCTTGCTTGCTACTATTTTTCTCCTATTTTTCCAGTTTTAACATATGGTTGAAAGTCCTGGACAATCGGTAGGCAGGCCAAACAATTTCTCTAGGCTTCAGAGATGTAGTTTTACAGAACAATGCTTAAAATACATTGAACAGCCAAAAAAAGCAACCAACAGGCTTTGAAAGAGGCGGGAGGCCGAAGAAACTAATCACAGACATCAGAAGGAGATAGTCATCATTTTTCAGCCATGTTATGAGAAGAGGGAAAATGGAACATGTGGTGACCACTAGAAAGATCTGTGGAAGGAGGGACAGAGGAAGACAACGAGAGAACATTCTTGACAGTTTTGTTGCATGGCATGGAGGTGTGTCAGCACACAAACTAATACATGCTGCATCAGATCGCAGATTGTGGCGAGGCATAATCGCCCATGTAGGTCGGCAAGGCACCTGATGATGATGATACATTATTCGTATTCGGCCGAATAGTTGGTCCCACTATTCGTATTAGGCTGAATAGTGAAAACACTATTGGGTACAGCCCTACTGCAATGTAAATGTAGTCGGGGAAACCTGGTCCTCTGTATCCAGCTTTTTACTTTGTGAATTCTTACAGTTGGTCAAACACAAATGTAACAAATGAAAAGGAAGCCTACTTGACACAATGGTCAACTGAATGTTGCATGTTTGCCATTGAAACTAATATGAGAAACTACATATCAACAATTACACACAAAGACAGGTTGGAATGTAAATCGTAAATTGTGAACAAAATACATTATTGAATCAACTAAAAGCTGTTAATAAGGCTGAAGAAAAACAGCAAGAACACTTAACTGTATTCTCCCGCAGTGTTTGGCTGGGCTAGAGTCAACAGTGTCTGACTAGGCTAGAGTCAACAGTGTCTAGGTGGGCTAGAGTCAACAGTGTCTGACTGGGCTAGAGTCAACAGTGTCTGGCTGGGCTAGAGTCAACAGTGTCTGGCTGGGCTAGAGTCAACAGTGTCTGGCTGGGCTAAAGTCAACAGTGTCTGGCTGGGATAGAGTCAACAGTGTCTGGCTGGGCAAGAGTCAACAGTGTCTGGCTAGGCTAGAGTCAACAATGTCTGACTGGGCTAGAGTCAACAGTGTCTGACTGGGCTAGAGTCAACAGTGTCTGGCTGGGCTAGAGTCAACAGTGTCTGGCTGGGCTAGAGTCAACAGTGTCTGACTGGGCTAGAGTCAACAGTGTCTGGCTGGGCTAGAGTCAACAGTGTCTGGCTGGGCTAGAGTCAACAGTGTCTGGCTAGGCTAGAGTCAACAATGTCTGACTGGGCTAGAGTCAACAGTGTCTGACTGGGCTAGAGTCAACAATGTCTGACTGGGCTAGAGTCAACAGTGTCTGGCTAGGCTAGAGTCAACAATGTCTGACTGGGCTAGAGTCAACAGTGTCTGACTGGGCTAGAGTCAACTGTGTCTGGCTAGGCTAGTCAACAGTGTCTGACTGGGCTAGAGTCAACAGTGTCTGGCTGGGCTAGAGTCAACAGTGTCTGGCTAGGCTAGAGTCAACAGTGTCTGACTGGGCTAGAGTCAACAGTGTCTGACTGGGCTAGAGTCAACAGTGTCTGGCTAGGCTAGAGTCAACAGTGTCTGGCTAGGCTAGAGTCAACAGCGATAATCACATAATTTAAACAATAATAAGAATGATGGGTAAAAGACCGTTTACACCAGTTCCAGTGAGATTAACAAATCATAAGATATACACATTTATTTTAGTGAGATTGATGACAGATAATGAGACATGATTTGTATCATTACTAGTGAGATTCGTGATGGATACCTTTAACAAAAAATTCAATCAGACTCAAGTCTATATGTGTCACTATCACCTGCCAGCAAGAGGTGCAACAGATAACAGTCAATTCTTTGTTGCTGCCCCCAAAACTGACCAATGTCATAACTTTATGATAACAGTCAATTCTTGGTTGCTGCTCCCAAAACTGACCAATGTCATAACTTTATGATAACAGTCAATTCTTTGTTGCTGCCCCCAAAACTGACCAATGTCATAACTTTATGATAACAGTCAATTCTTTGTTGCTGCCCCCAAAACTGACCAATGTCATAACTTTATGATAACAGTCAATTCTTTGTTGCTGCCCCTAAAACTGACCAATGTCATAACTTTATGATAACAGTCAATTCTTTGTTGCTGCCCCCAAAACTGACCAATGTCATAACTTTATGATAACAGTCAATTCTTTGTTGCTGCCCCCAAAACTGACCAATGTCATAACTTTATGATAACAGTCAATTCTTTGTTGCTGCCCCTAAAACTGACCAATGTCATAACTTTGTGATAACAGTCAATTCTTTGTTGCTGCCCCCAAAACTGACCAATGTCATAACTTTATGATAACAGTCAATTCTTTGTTGCTGCCCCTAAAACTGACCAATGTCATAACTTTATGATAACAGTCAATTCTTTGTTGCTGCCCCTAAAACTGACCAATGTCATAACTTTATGATAACAGTCAATTCTTTGTTGCTGCCCCTAAAACTGACCAATGTCATAAGTTTATGAAAACAAACAGCAATCTTTTATAATGCTTTGCTCATCTAAATAAAACAAGAAGGCAAGAAAACAACTCAGCCAAATAAAGAATACATTCAGATATGGTGGTATTTGTAAAAGTTACTCAACGCCTTTCCATCCTCGACAGATAATGAATCAACTAATTCTATTATAGAGTTGGATGTACCCAGCCATCCCAATTCAAGAGACCGGTGTGCAGTTTCAAGAGAGAACCACACATTATAACTCCACAGGGAACACAACTGAAAGACTTGGCGAGATTTTAGCCCTTCCCTAGTGAACACAGAGCGTAATGCTCATTGAAAAAGCCACATCGCACACGTTTGGAATCGAGCCAGAAACTGCGACAGTTAATTAAATTTACAGCTAAAAACGAAGCCGGAAAGGCGGTGATGCCCAAAAAATGGGCGACACGGACAGTCGCCAACAGAGCAAAGCAACCTGGGAATATGTCACACATGTTGGTTGTCAACCACTTGAGTTTCACTAAGATCAAATAACACCTGAAAGGTTGACAAAAATCCAATAACACTTTAGTAATTAAACTTAGTTCAAGGTAACAGAAAGTAAGAAAAACATTCAAGAACTTTCCAAAGAATGATCCAATCAAATGATTAGAATATAACAAGTGACAAACTGAAATTCGCTTCTATATATGGAACAGATGCCTAGAGAAGTCAGCTGACATCCAGGTCAGTAAAACGGGACTGGAACATGACATGTATGAAGAAGGAGACTAACTATTTGTAAACGGGATTCTAAACGGGAATGCCTAACGAATAATAATGGCTGGAAGGAGGACGACCAACCTTTACTGAAGCATTATTCAGCATGCTTAAAAAAAAAAAAAAGATCATACAAGACAGGATGGATGGACATTTCTATCATCCTTTTATTTTTGCTTCGCGGTGAAGGGGCTTTTAAGTATCTAATCCTGCCGTGAATGTGAAGTGTGTGTGGATGTGGATTCGAGGATTAAGTTGAGCTTATCCACAACTGGAATTACTAGAAGAGAGGACAGGAAACTCTATGAACATTTCTGTTATGTTGTGGAGTCATTGAAATATTGCCCAGAAGTGAGCTCACCATTAAACAGATTACCTTTTCTTACACTCCAGGCTTAATGTAGGTGTAGCTGTCTAAGTCGATACTGGATGAGTCGTGTAGTGCTGAGCAGTAGCAGGGGAAAGGTGTTTCAGTCATACACAGTTTATGGTCGTAAACGTAACGAACCTGGCAACTATCCAGGCAGCAACACGGCCACAATTAAACAAATAGTCTATATGGATTATTCAAACAACAAAAAAGATACAGCCCAACCCCAAACTTAGATAAAAGAAAGAAAAACAAAATGAAATTTGTAATAACTTACAATCTTCATAAAGTTAGCACATATTAAGCAGCGCTATAGGTTAAAGGTAAGCACTAGGATTAGATGTAGGGTCTTTCTGGTTGCGGTATCGAATGGTCAACCACACACCTATAATCTGCAAAGATGGGCCAAACAAATTAGCATTGAGGGAAATTGATGGTTCTGTCTACACAACTACATTATAAACATACTGTCAGTCACCAGTGGATTTAGGTAAGAGGGCTTCACTGATACACACATCAGCACAGAGTTGACAGTATTGGGCTTCACTGACACACACATCAGCACAGTGTTGACAGTACTGGGCTTCACTGACACACACATCAGCACAGTGTTGACAGTATTGGGCTTCACTGACACACACACATCAGCACAGTGTTGACAGTACTGGGCTTCACTGACACACACATCAGCAGTGTTGACAGTACTGGGCTTCACTGACACACACATCAGCACAGTGTTGACAGTACTGGGCTTCACTGACACACACATCAGCACAGAGTTGACAGTACTGGGCTTCACTGACACACACATCAGCACAGTGTTGACAGTACTGGGCTTCACTGACACACACACACCAGCACAGTGTTGACAGTATTGGGCTTCACTGACACACACACATCAGCAGCAGTGTTGACAGTGACAGTATTGGGCTCCACTGACACACACATCAGCACAGTGTTGACAGTATTGGGCTCCACTGACACACACATCAGCACAGTGTTGACAGTACTGGGCTTCACTGACACACACACACCAGCACAGTGTTGACAGTATTGGGCTTCACTGACACACACACATCAGCACAGTGTTGACAGTACTGGGCTTCACTGACACACACACATCAGCACAGTGTTGACAGTACTGGGCTTCACTGACACACACACATCAGCACAGTGTTGACAGTACTGGGCTTCACTGACACACACATCAGCACAGTGTTGACAGTACTGGGCTTCACTGACACACACATCAGCACAGTGTTGACAGTACTGGGCTTCACTGACACACACATCAGCACAGTGTTGACAGTACTGGGCTTCACTGACACACACACATCAGCACAGTGTTGACAGTACTGGGCTTCACTGACACACACACACATCAGCACAGTGTTGACAGTACAGGGCTTCACTGACACACACATCAGCACAGTGTTGACAGTACTGGGCTTCACTGACACACACAGCAGCACAGAGTTGACAGTACTGGGCTTCACTGACACACACAGCAGCACAGAGTTGACAGTACTGGGCTCCACTGACACACACATCAGCACAGTGTTGACAGTACTGGGCTCCACTGACAAACACATCAGCACAGTGTTGACAGTATTGGGCTCCACTGACACACACATCAGCTAAGTGTTGACAGTATTGGGCTCCACTGACACACACATCAGCACAGTGTTGACAGTATTGGGCTCCACTGACACACACATCAGCACAGTGTTGACAGTATTGGGCTCCACTGACACACACATCAGCACAGTGTTGACAGTATTGGGCTCCACTGACACACACATCAGCACAGTGTTGACAGTACTGGGCTCCACTGACACACACATCAGCACAGAGTTAACAGTACTGGGCTTCACTGACACACACATCAGCACAGTGTTGACAGTATTGGGCTTCACTGACATACCATCAGCACAGAGTTGACAGTACTGGGCTTCACTGACACACACATCAGCACAGAGTTGACAGTACAGGGCTTCACTGACACACACATCAGCACAGAGTTGACAGTACTGGGCTTCACTGACACACACAGCAGCACAGAGTTGACAGTACTGGGCTTCACTAACACACACATCAGCACAGAGTTGACAGTACTGGGCTTCACTGACACACACATCAGCACAGAGTTGACAGTACTGGGCTTCACTGACACACATCAGCACGGAGTTGACAGTACTGGGCTTCACTGACACACACAGCAGCACAGAGTTGACAGTATTGGGCTTCACTGACATACCATCAGCACAGAGTTGACAGTACTGGGCTTCACTGACACACACAGCAGCACAGAGTTGACAGTACTGGGCTTCACTGACATACACATCAGCACGGAGTTGACAGTACTGGGCTTCACTGACACACACAGCAGCACAGAGTTGACAGTATTGGGCTTCACTGACATACCATCAGCACAGAGTTGACAGTACTGGGCTTCACTGACACACACAGCAGCACAGAGTTGACAGTACTGGGCTTCACTGACATACACATCAGCACGGAGTTGACAGTACTGGGCTTCACTGACACACACAGCAGCACAGAGTTGACAGTACTGGGCTTCACTGACACACACATCAGCACAGAGTTGACAGTACAGGGCTTCACTGACACACACATCAGCACAGAGTTGACAGTACTGGGATTCACATATACTAGTAAAAGTCAAGGATCTGTTTTCCACACCTTTCAGGTCCACTGGACACAAAGGGCTAGACCTATATTTTGTGGACCACCTGGTACTCAAAAGGCGATGTGGTCAACATCACACGGACCACCTTTACTTCCCAGGGACGTTCCCTGGTACCCATTTGTGGCTGCATCGATCTGGAAGGCAAAGTCAGTTTGAAAAAACCCATGAACTTTTAATCCATGGGCAACTTGAGACTTGTGAGGTTGACACGAAGAATCTCAGCTCCACTGGGAACCCACATCATCTGTGCTGGCAAGCCAGTGAACTATTCTTATATCCTATATTAAATGAGTTAACTGGCTGGATTTGAAGACCATCATTACGATCCTGTGATACTATCTATTGGAGCTCCAACTTCAGGCTTCAGACCACATTAGTTGCAATTCATCTAAGTGTACCAGACTCTGTAGCACTGGTATGGATTCCCAATTTGTGTACAGCAGAATCCACTTATAATACAAACATGATGTGACTTGCAACTGTCTAAGAATACAGTGTTAGAAGAGCTGACGTGTGTACAGCAGAATCCACTTATAATACAAACATGATGTGACTTGCAACTGTCTAAGAACAGTGTTAGAAGAGCTGACGTGTGTACTGCTGAATTCACTTATAATACAAACATGATGTGACTTGCAACTGTCTAAGAATACAGTGTTGGAAGAGTTGACGTGTGTACAGCAGAATTCACTTATATAATACAAACATGATGTGACTTGCAACTGTCTAAGAATACAGTGCTGGAAGAGCTGACATGTGTACAGCAGAATTCACTTATAATACAAACATGATGTGACTTGCAACTGTCTAAGAATACAGTGTTGGAAGAGTTGAAGTGTGTACAGCAGAATTCACTTATATAATACAAACATGATGTGACTTGCAACTGTCTAAGAATACAGTGCTGGAAGAGCTGACATGTGTACAGCAGAATTCACTTATAATACAAACATGATGTGACTTGCAACTGTCTAAGAATACAGTGCTAGAAGAGTTGAAGTGTGTACAGCAGAATTCACTTATATAATACAAACATGATGTGACTTGTAACTGTCTAAGAATACAGTGCTGGAAGAGCTGGCGTGTGTAAGCCAGCCTACTGTGAACAATGTGCAGCTGCTAAGAGTTTTGAATGTAAACAACTAGCACATGGGACTTTCTATTTGCCCAAGTTTAGTTCTCCTGATCCACATGGCAGACATCAGTGGGTGGAGGGAGTGATGACCTCATAAAACCTGAAGAAGACAGCTGAAGGGATGACCTCATGAAACCTGAAGAAGACAGCTGAAGGGATGACCTCATGAAACCTGAAGAAGACTGCTGAAGGGATGACCTCATAAAACCTGAATCAGACAGCTGAAGGGATGACCTCATGAAACCTGAAGAAGACAGCTGAAGGGATGACCTCATGAAACCTGAAGAAGACAGCTGAAGGGATGACCTCATGAAACCTGAAGAAGACAGCTGATAGGAAAACGAAAGAATACATAAAATGATATGGGATACAAAAGGCAGAGAAGCAGCAGACCGGCAGCAACTGAAGACCACTTGTGGATGCCTTATGTGTCAACAGCGACAAAAGGAGGTTACAGATAGAATAAGACAGTGATGTTTTTGCTTGATAATGATGATGAGTCTGAGTTCAATGTTATTTCTAACCAGTACAACTACCTTGCCTGCACTCACTGTCCCATGACTGACCAGTAAAACTACCTTGCCTGCACTGCCCCATGATTGACCAGTACAACTACTTTGCCTGCACTGCCCCATGACTGACCAGTACAACTACTTTGCCTGCACTGCTCCATGACTGACCAGTACAACTACTTTGCCTGCACTGCTCCATGACTGACCAGTACAACTACTTTGCCTGCACTGCTCCATGACTGACCAGTACAACTACTTTGGCCTGCACTGCCCCATGACTAACCAGTACAACTACCTTGCCTGCACTGCCCCATGACTGACCAGTACAACTACCTTGCTGGCACTGCTCCATGACTGACCAGTACAACTACTTTGGCCTGCACTGCCCCATGACTAACCAGTACAACTACCTTGCCTGCACTGCCCCATGACTAACCAGTACAACTACTTTGGCCTGCACTGCTCCATGACTAACCAGTACAACTACCTTGCCTGCACTGCTCCATGAGTGACCAGTACAACTACCTTGCCGGCACTGCTCCATGACTAACCAGTACAACTACCTTGCCTGCACTGCCCCATGACTGACCAGTACAACTACCTTGCCTGCACTGCTCCATGAGTGACCAGTACAACTACATTGCCGGCACTGCCCCATGACTGACCAGTACAACTACCTTGCCAGCACTGCCCCATGACTAACCAGTACAACTACCTTGCCTGCACTGCCCCATGACTGACCAGTACAACTACCTTGCCTGCACTGCTCCATGAGTGACCAGTACAACTACCTTGCCGGCACTGCCCCATGACTGACCAGTACAACTACCTTGCCTGCACTGCTCCATGAGTGACCAGTACAACTACTTTGCTTGCACTGCCCCATGAGTTGGTTGTTATTTCTTTAAGGAAACTGAAGGCAGACAAGTATCACTGACAATATGGCCACTAATGTATTGCTCACTGACAGAAAATATCAGCCTCTGCCAAAATGCATTAGTCCTGAGCATTAACACTACCAGACCGCTGGCCCGGTTTACCGGGGATTTCTTAACATGTCTCTATACCCCTGGCCCTAATTTTCGGCTTTTTGCATAGTACGGGAAAACGATGCGTCACGGACTAAAAATAACCACCCAATCGTTATCAATCCTCTTTGTTAGACATTGCAAATGTCTGCCCGCATGTGTTTGGATTATAATTGTGTTGTTTTACATGGAAGAATTCTGAAAATTAACATTGAAACGAGCGGCTGATGAACAAAGTTCTAGGCCTTTCAGAGTCCAACAGGTGATCAATACTTTGGTTTATTCAGACTCTGTGATATATATATATATTCATTATCTGTGATAATTTCATAATGAATACGTTCTTGAAGTGACACTGTCAGTGATGAGGAAAATCTTGAAAATTATCAATCTTGAAATAGATCGATAGTAGGAGGAGGGGGTGTGTCCATCAAACGGCAACATCTGGTGTTCACTTTGTGAAACAAAGTTGATCCTGATGAGTGAATTCGCACACAAAGGTGGAATATTGGCGCTAGATAAAAGGTAAGCCTATTTTCTACAATGTCTCTAAGTTTCAACATATTCTAGCCACTAGTTTGCATGTTACTAATATTTTTGTATATCAAGTTGGTTTATTCGCGTTAATGCCCAGGAGCTCAGGTTATAGGGACAGTTAGGTTCAGGGCCTCAGGTCTGGTAGGGTAAATCAGAGACACTACCATAAAACACAGAATCATGAACCATAAGGCCAGGGGACACACAACAACCAATACAGCAGATTGGGGGGTAATCCCCGGCTGTGGTCATTTCTGATTCAGCTAACAACAGTACAGCTTTGGTGGGAAAAGAGAAACATAAATACTTAGAATAAAAGGCTGACAGAAATAGCCCAGCTTTGTGTTGCCAACTATACAGTGCTTTGTTGGATTCCATTCATATTCAACATTTATACTTTAAGATTTGTACTCAGTTTAAAGCTGTCTGAATTGTGAGTGATCTAACCTCTTGATTTGTAGGCATCCATAAAGAAAGATTAAGCACAACAAGATCATCTGATACAGTCAGCTATAACAATGCATACTTATTCACATAGCACATCGTGATAACCAGTACCTGCCATTCACATAACACAAGAAACATAACTTGCCTGTCATCACAGAACACAGCAAAACACAACTTGCCTGCCAATCACAGAACACAGCAAACACAACTTGCCTGCCAATCACAGAACACAGCAAACACAACTTGCCTGCCATTCACAGAACACAGCACAAGAACTCACCTCAGTAAAGCTGAAGAACAAGCCTAAGCCTCCTGTCACAGAGAATGCATTGTAGATAAGAGGCTGTAGAACATCAAAACAAGACTTGCAAGGGCAGGGTGGGGACGTCCCATTTGTGTATTGTCCAGTGCAGCACTGGTCAGTTTTACCTTTACAGCAGTCAGAGGACTGAGTGGATAGAAAGCACAAATATACACAATACATCATGAACAGCTACATGCCTTTCAAACAGCGTAAAGGGAATAAACAAATTTTATATTGTTTTCTAAAAGCACAGTGAAGATCAAAATCTGTTCTTGAATTTAAAGAAAATTAAAATAATGTCCACAGAAAGAACTGGCTGTCACCCAAAAATAACAAAAAATGATGAAGAAATTGAAAATGTCACAAACTTTAAATATCTAGGCTCTATAATAAACAACAATGGCGACTGTTTGACAGAAATTTAAAGGAGGATGGCCATAGCAATGCAAAGATTGAACAGACTAAAAAGTCTATGGTTAAGCAACATTAAGGAGATTAAAATTTTAACTTTGAGAGCAAGCATCTTCCCTGTAGCAACATACGGATGTGAGTCGTAGACTATCTCCTATCTTCCCTGTAGCAACATACGGATGTGAGTCGTTGACTATCTCCCATCTTCCTTGTAGCAACATACGGATGTGAGTCGTAGACTATCTCCTATCTTCCCTGTAGCAACATACGGATGTGAGTCGTTGACTATCTCCCATCTTCCCTGTAGCAACATACGGATGTGAGTCGTAGACTATCTCCCAGTCCTCAAGAAAGAGAATAGGGGCTTTTGAGCTGAAATGTTATAGAAAGATTCTCAGAATATCTTGGACGAAAAAGTGGAGAAATATTGACATCTTGAAAGATCTGAACATCAAGGAAGATTGGCTAATAAACAGCATCCTGTCTCAAAAGCTGAAATATTTTGGTCATATTAAGCGCCACAACGGATTGGAAAAAAAATTATAGCAGAGGGCATGGTACCAGAAAGAAGGGGCAGGGGCCAACCAACACGAAGATGGGCAAAGGATATAAGTGACTCCTTGTGTATGAAAGTGCATGAGGTGGGAAATCTGGCAGGCCCTAATGAGAGCGATGTTCCGCAAAGGACCTGCTACATGATGATGATGATGGTGTGCCTTAGGTGCACACAGGTATAAAATAAAATGTGTCCGTGCCATTGGGTAAACTGTCCATTTAAATTCTGTAATATCCAAAAAACAACAAATAACTATGATATTTAAGGATGAAAAAAGCAAATCAAGGACTACTTACAACATCACAAGGTGGGTGACCCAATGGATCACTCTGTGGAAACTGGGTCTGCTTGAAGCCACAGCAGTTAAACTGAGCCTGCACTTCTGACCTGGTCATGTTGCTAGACATCCGCCAACCTTGCTCCACCAGGGCATCCTTCTGATCTGCATTAACTGCCAGACATGCACAAGCCAAGGAGAATTGCAGCAAAAATAGAATGAACAGGATAATCATATACTGGGCACCGGTTCAGGACAAATAGCAATCATGTATTATAAGCTTACAAATGGTCACAGCTTCCAGTTCAGCTTCCTGGACAATTAACTAAACACAACCACAACTTACCAAAGGTAGTCAAGTTAACCCATGTCACTGCTCTCTATCTATCCATCCAAGTGTATCTTATCCATCCATCTCTCTAGCTTATCTATATAAGTGTGTGTGCTGTTGTATGTGCGTATGCATGAGTATGGACAAAGATATATGTATGAGAGTGTTTAATCACATAAACGTATTTATGAGTGTGTGTATATGACAGTATCTATATGGGTATATAGTCGGCTCTGTGGCTAAGTCAATGCGAACGCTTTGTAATGCCGGGATGCCAGGTTCGATCCCAGCTGCGGGCCATGCCCCTTGGGTTGGTTTTGACAGTGGTATCAAGAAAGCCGACCGTCCAGAAAGTAATGGCAAATTACTGGACGTAAATTTGCCTAGAAAAACTGCACAACAGCTAGGGGCTGTTGGGGTTGGTTCTGCAACCTCCTGTAAAGGATATGCAACTAACCTTAACCTATATGGGTATATGCGAGTGTGTGTGTGTATGCACACATATGTGTATTTATGATACTTTATGCACAGGTATGTATGCGTTTAAGAAAAAAGTAAAACTAAAGGTAGGGATGGTTACATTGTTTACATCTAATACTGAGCACAAGTTAACACAGGCAGAACACTTCAGAGAGACTTTAAATAAATCCAGTCCAGGAGGAGCAAATAATGTTGATGAAGAGGCTAAGACCATAACACCAATAAATATAGGACAGAGAAATGATGAGGAAATCCATTCATCAGCAAACATTAAGCCAAAATGTGATGACGATATCACTAGAGAAATTATCAAGGCAGCAGATGATAGACCATAAGCTGAGTAAATTTTGGTTAACAGAATATGGACAGAGTACAAAAATCCCATTTTTGTGGAAAAAACGAATAATTGTTTAAATTCCAAAGAAAGGTAATACCTACGGTAACAACTGAACCCCTCTAGGCCTTCAAACTGAGCAACCAAACATATAGTGACTCAAAGAGCTACTAGTCAGATGAGCATTCCCAGATACAAATCTCAGAACCCATTCACCCGTACGACAGAGTTAATAATATTGGGGCACGCTGATGGTTGCAGTGTAACCTGCAGTGCAATCTGGTTGGACATGTCTTGTTATAAACTTAGCATCTCACTAACATGATTTTACAGTAACAGCAATGCAACACCTGGCACTTCATCAATGAGAAAACACATCATGGTAAATCATCAGCACCCAGATTTTAGAACCCACTTCAAGCCTACAACACTTTCACTGTCAATGTTTACATACTGTCCACCAAGATTATGGGGTATTGATTGCATTTCTGTCAGCCCATTTAAATGTCTACCCCCAGTTAAGTTGGCGAACAAATATTGATTGTTCATAGAAATTATACCCACACAGTGACTGGGCTGTGTTCAGTGGCAAGAGGCAGATGTTGAGTTTACCGACTTTCACAGCTGACAACTACAGTATGCAGCCAGCTACTTGCCTCACGGTAGTTGGTGGGGTAGCTGTACTAAAGTGTCTACAGTATCAAGCCACTTACTTGCCTCGCGGGGGCTGGTGGGGTAGCTGTACTAAAGTGTCTACAGTATCAAGCCACTTACTTGCCTCACGGGGGCTGGTGGGGTAGCTGTACTAAAGTGTCTACAGTATCCAGCCTCATGGTGGCTAGTGTCTTACTCCTTGGTTTATCTGTTCAAAAGTACCCAATCTGTTTCCAACTTTAATTGCTGCTACTTGGTTCCAGTAAATGGAAATGTTTTTAATTATTCTGAGATCTTTCCCATCTACACTGATGTCTTCCAACATTTGTATCATTTCTTCATGTTTAACTGTGTCAAATGCTTCGGTATAATCTGTCCAGCACAAATAGAGGCCAATGCAGGAGATGTTCATTTACAAGTGACCTAGTCGTCCAGGTCGACTCAGCCTAAAATTGGTCGCATAAAATGTATGGGGAGAAAAGATGACCAGATGTAACTGACCACATTACCCACATAGTGTGTTCTCAGTATAGGATGTCAGAAAAAAAAACGGCAGTGACATGACATAAGCACTACAGAACATATAACGGAACAGGGCTATGTATTGACAAAATATGAACATCCCATGAGATGTATTCCTAAAGAGTCCTTATAGAATCAAACCCTGCAACTTTCTCTGTCACTTCTGATGACCAGTGCTCTAGACATTGGCACCACAAGATCATGTGAAGATTATCCTGCTCAATGTTACCACCGTCTCTCTGTCCATATCCCATTTGACAAACATGAGGTTACTGTACAACATAGATCCTACTGAGAGAATTGAAGCTGCAGGACATACAAACTTTCTGAGAGAATTAAAGCTGCAGGACATACAAACATTCTGAGAGAATTAAAGCTGCAGGACATACAAACAAATTGAGAGAATTAAAGCTGCAGGACATTCAAACATATTGAGAGAATTAAAGCTGCAGGACATACAAACATATTGAGAGAATTCAAGCTGCAGGACATACAAACATATTGAGAGAATTCAAGCTGCAGGACATACAAACATACTGAGAGAATTAAAGCTGCAGGACATACAAACATACTGAGAGAATTAAAGCTGCAGGACATACAAACATACTGAGAGAATTAAAGCTGCAGGACATACAAACATACTGAGAGAATTCAAGCTGCAGGACATACAAACATACTGAGAGAATTAAAGCTGCAGGACATACAAACATACTGAGAGAATTAAAGCTGCAGGACATGCAAACATACTGAGGTGTGCAGATGGTACAATAATAACATTAAAGTCAGAAAATAGTCGGCAAACCATTCTTGACAAGATAGCTGTAGGAAGCGAAGAATCCTCAGCAAAACAGAACACATGCTAGTTTCCAACAAAGCAAACACTGCAAATGCTCTATAGTCAAAACAACAACAGAGGCTAATCTTTGAAACCATCAAGAATACACATTGACGTCTAATAGCAGAATTGCCTCTGATAAAGCAAATAATCACATTTTTACCAGAAAGAGTAATAATGTGACAAAAGAAACATAAATAAAAGCACAAAACCCACTGAGCAAATAGGTCTGCCCATTTCTATGGATAGAAATGTTCAACAGTGAATTATAAAATTGTAGAAGAAATGTGGAAGCAAGAAAGATGTTTCTAAGAAGAATGTGGAGAATACTGTAGAAGAGAAGAAACAAATGAAGTACTAACAGCTGAAGGTATTACCAGGTCACCCATCAAAACTATCTTCATCATAAATTTCGCTGGCCCGGTTTTCCGGGAATATCATAACTGTTCTCTATACCGATGGCCCTAATTTTCGGCTATTTGCATAGTGCGTGAGGAAGATGCGCCACTGACTAAAAATAACCAACCAATCGTCGTCAGTACGCTTTGTTAGACATTGCAAATGGCTTCCCCGTGTGTGTGAATCAATTTTGTGTGTTCTACCGTGAAAAAATTCAGAAAATTCAGAATGAAGCGAGCGGCCGATGAACCAAGTTCTAGGCTTTTCACAGTCCAACAGGTGATCGATACTTTGGTTTATTCAGACTCTGTGATATATATATATATATATATATATATATATATATATAATATATATATATATATATATATATATATATATATATATATATATATATATATATATTTATTTTTCATTATCTGTGATAATTTCATAAGAATACATTCTTGAAGTGACACTGTCTGTCAGTGAGAGCGCGAATGATGAGAAAAATCTTGAAAATTATCAATCTTGAAATAGATCGATAGTAGGAGGAGGGAGTGTGTCCATCAAACGGCAACATCTGGTGTTCACTTTGTGAAACAAAGTTGATCCTGATGAGTGAATTCGCACACAAAGGTGGAATATTGGCGCTAGATAAAAGGCAAGCCTATTTTCTACAATGTCTCCAAGTTGCATCATATTCTAGCCACTAGTTTGCATGTAACTAATATTTGTGTATATCATGTTGATTTTTTCACGGTAATGCCCAGGAGCTCAGGTTATAGGGACAGTAAGGTTCAGGGCCTTAGGTCTGGTAGGGTTAAGCATCCATTGGGTAGTTCTGGCAACTGTCATTTTTTGTGGACATAATGTCTTTAATACCATCAATATATCTTCTAGTTGGGCACCCTGCTGTTTTCATATCATATTTTTTTTTTCAGGCATACTTTTGTTGGTAGTTGTGGCTGCAATCTAACAAGATGACTGAACCATCTGATCTTCAGCTTCTCAATAGATTTGGAGCAAGGTGTTGATCCAAGAGTTTGTCTGATATCCCTTCTCACTCTACACTGAATGGTTCAGTTTGTGGCTATCGTTCGGCATCTAATCTTGCAGGCATTAAAACTACAGGGGTTCAAAAATGTATGCTGCTCATTGAACAAAGAAGTGTAGATCCCTGGGTGACACTGATGAGAGGAAATCCACTCCTGTCACAAGGGGGGACAACTGTGAACCACTAGGTTGGAGTGTGTTCATACAGTCCTTACATTTTGCAATGTATCAAAAATTTCACAGGTATAAATGTGACACAATTTACAACACTCAATTCTTGACAGATAAATGGTACATTTTCAACTACTTCTGTTTTTAACTTAATCTATAAACATTCTAGAACTTACATGTAAACACACAGATAATATTCTATTGTCCCATACAGATCTGCCTGGCATGACCTTTACATTGTACTACGTGACATTATTTTGCTGTTATCTCTCACCCACTTTACCATACCCTACTCATGTCATACACATGGGCTGAGAACCCAGATTGGTATTACTGTAAACCAAAGGATACAAAGAAGAGTAATACTTGATTATGTTTGGCTGCACCAACCAGACCAACTAGTGCAATCAGAAACAGCAACACACCACAGGCAATGAGACTGCCCACTAATGTTAAACTGGTAACCACGGCCACCGCCCTGCCATATGCTGCCACACTGATCAGGATGAGGGATACAATCTGAAAACAACAGAAAAAAAAAAAAAACAGGTAGTATAAATCCCTGCTCAACCCTGTCAAGGAGGCTCAAGTGAGAGGGTTAGACATATACCAAGCCAAAGACTTTCAGTAATATTGCGACTAGGTAGTTGCAAAATCATTCAGCATGTCAAAAAAGCCCACCAATTTCTTATCCTAATAAACAAAAATATAAATGTTCGTTTGTGGCTAACTGATAATCTCCTAAAGTTCTTCACCAAGTGCTTTGAAATTTTCACACAAAGTTGCATTCAAACAGCCCTTTTCTAAAAATAAAGAGTGTCGCACTAAGCACGACAATCACATCGGCATTTTGGTCTTGTTTTTCGACCATCCAATTTTTTTTATTGCCTCGCGGGTTTTTCTTTCCGCTGGTAGGCGATCTTTGGCTGTTGACTTCACAAATCTGCATAAAGCTGTATGTCGAAAGTTCTTCACCAATTGCTTTGAAATTTTGACACAATGTTGCATTCGAATACGAGCATGTTTTTTTAAAAGTGTCGCACAAAGCATGAACTACATAGATCCAGCGTCATACACACTGGCGTCTGGGTTTTTTCCCCTCAGACGATCCAAATTTTTTTTTGCCGTGTTCCTGGCGCAGGTTTTTATTTCTGCTGGTAGGTGAACTTCAACTGTTGACCTCAGAAATCTGCATAAAACTGTATTAGATAATCTATTATTTCGTTATGGCGATGAAGAGTTGTTAAAAGACTGTTTGGAAATGTAAAGACGTGGGAATAAAAACAAATTGGAAATAATTCTTGTGGGATAAAAAGAGAATTGTTGAAAGACTGCATGGGAATAAAAACAAATTGGAAATAATTCTTGTGGGGTAAAAAGAGAATTGTTGAAAGACTGCATGGGAATAAAAACAAATTGGAAATAATTCTTGTGGGGTAAAAAGAGAATTGTTGAAAGACTGCATGGGAATAAAAGATTACTGGATAGAGAGGCCTATCATCACAGTATTCTGGACAGATCCATAGGTTCTCAGATCTCTTCCTCATAGCTCCACAAGTGCAAAAACAACTAATAACGAACGTTTTGTGATGATTAATCAGACGGCTTTTGCCTTGGGTGAAATATTATTGTCTGGCTGCTCTCCCATATCCATCACCGTCAACACGATCTTCTATGTGATACGCATCTCACTTGACAACGACATCACAACTGCCCATGTCGGGGAAGTCACAGTAACCGCCTTACCCACAATATTATACATTTTAACCTGAACAGTCCGTGGCAACAGCACTAGCCATTCGGTCCTGCATCCTCTGGCTCACGACCCCCTGTCTACACTGACCTAGAAAGGTGGTAAAACAGGCAGTAGTGACAGTTTTTTAGTTGTTGTGGTTCTGATGGTGGCAGTAGTAGTACTGGTACTCCAAGGGTGATGTGGTAAATATCACACTGGCCACATTTACTTCTCATTACGTTTCCTGCCACCCATTTTAGTCTGGGTGGACATGGAAGGAAAGTCAGTTAACAAAACAGAGACTGCGAGAGGATTAGTCGGTGGATTGGGGGTGGGGGTGGGGCGGGTAATGACAGAAACTGTTAACCAAGAGAGCTTCAAACATGATTTTACAGTTTTCATTTTTTAAAATTATTTCTATTTTAATAACGCTACCTCAGCTATTCTCTGTGGTTTTTGTGTGTGTGCAAATCTGTTGGTTATTCATAAGTATAGTATAAAGCTCTACTTTCAGCTCTTTAACAAATACAAAAAAGCTTTAGCGTGTGATAAATGAATAACCATTTTTTTAAAAAGTCTGAATAATGCAATTTAAACGACCACCAATATAAAGACATAATTTTATGCTGTGTGTTCTAGAGTAGGCAAACCAGACTATCTGGGCAGGCAACAACTGTGAAATTCACCATATCAGACAAGTGTGCTTTCTATTTTCTTTGTTTTCCATTTAGCCAGACTGCCACAACAATGCATGGCTGGACACATCTAGTATTTAATAATTATTGAAATAATATGTTATTTGTCACAAAATTATCATCATCATCTCGTACCACAAGGTGTCGTTGGGTCAGCAGTTTATGTCGACTGCCTGCAAAGCTCTCTCCACCTTTTATATACTCTATTAAAACTGTAAATGAGATACTGCACTTTACTGCACTCAACATGCAACTGAAAACTGTTCCATGTGCCCTGCCTGACATGTGTGACACATACTGATGACACCTGTATTAGGTCATGACACAATTAGATTGGGCGACCAGTTCCTTTCCTTGCTGTCATTTACCAGCCTAAACAATTACTATCTGTTGTATGAAGCTGTATCGACCATACTCAAAGCCTAAAGAATACAACATCCCAATATATCTTTTTCATTGTAGCATGGGATTCCATAAGAGTGTCATATCATTTAATACAGCTAAAATATTTCATTGGTTTCTTTATATCTTCTTCCACACCCAAAGCAACAAAAGAAGAAGAGAGGAAACAAATTCTTTCAGTTCATTCAAGCAGGAACGGTCTACACTCGTTGCCAGCAACATCTGTACTTTATTATCAAACCTCTTATGGCATAGAAGGGACTGGTACATGCTGGAGATGGCAGGTTGTGGTGAGGCATGATCACTCACGCCCGTCAGCAAGGCACTTTATGGGGACATTGTCATAATGCTACAGGAATATATGTTTATACTATACAATTTAGACATATCACTGTGAATCCTTGGCTACAAGTCAATTTTTTTAAGGTCTCAGAGATGTCATTTTACAAGAGAATCCTTAGAATTGCTTGGACAGACAAAAGAAGCAATCCAGGTGTTCTGAAAGTGGTGAAGGAAGGCTCAAAGACAACTTATCATGAACATCAGACAGACAGACAGTCATTATTTGTTGGTCACGCTAAGAAAAGAAGTAAGAAGTAAAACTGGAATGTGTTAAAAAGAGACAACATAAAAAGATTCTTGACAGCCTTCTGTTATGGCATTGGGGTGGGGGGGGGGGGGGGGGGGGGGAAGGGGTGGTCGGTCACATAAACTGATATGATGTTGAAGATCCCAGATTGGGAAGTAGCATGATCGCCCATGATGGTCAGCAAGGAACTCAATGATAATAAGAGAAGACTGCTAGTAATCCTAGTAAGACTCACAATGAGTAATAACAATAACAGTATATTTAACATTTTAATTTACTTATTAACCTCTCTAAAAACCAACACTTTTCTTATGTCAAAATCTACAAATTATGTTACAAAAAAACGACCCTGCGTCTTGAGTACTATGGACTATGTTTATTTCTGTCGACGTCTGTGGCTTAGGCGTTGCAGGTCGTTAATAATTCTGTGGTACCGGGTTTGATCCCAGCTGCTGTCGATTTGATAGCAGACCGTGGCTATCCTCTGAATAACCGTCCCAAATTATCGAGGCCGAAAATATACCCTAACAGGGCCTCAGTCACATGTCAATTGCGGACTTCCAGGAATTACACCGCCACCGCCAAATTTGGGACTTCCGGAGACTATACTGCAACCGCCAAAAGTATCTCCCACGCCACTATGAGCACCGTGGACTAGGGTTAAACTAGATGGCTGGGACTCACAAACAAATTAAATGAAGGAAGCTGCAGGAGATACGGTAGCTGCTGCTTGTGAGTCCCAGCCTTCTAGTTTAGCCCCAATCCACGCGGTGCCTAGCGGTGTGGGAGATACTCTTGGCGGTGGCGGAAGTCGCCTGAAGTGCGCAATTTAAGACGCCTGAAGTGCACAATTTAAGTCGCCGGAAGTTCGCAATTGACATGTGACTGGGGCCTTGTTAGGGTATATAATATAATATATTTTCGGCCTCGATAATTTGGGACCGTTTTTCGGAGGATAGCCTCAGACCGCTTTGCGTTAGTTTCAAGTGCCGTCGACAGCCATCTGTTTAGTGACAACAGTAAAATCTACTGTGTGTTACTACACACACTTTGTACAAAAATAACACTGCCTAGTGAAATCACAAACAGTCTGAACATTAAATGCTGGGTTGGGAACTACTACTAGTAGTTGTAACTAGTACTAGTACTAAAGACGGTTTACTTCACTGACACGACACTTCAAAAAAAATGGACTGATGAATTACTTTTTACTAAACTAACTTACGATATAAATGACATTCAGTATTATAAGCGAATGTCGGGAACAAGCGAAACCTCCGCAAACCATTCTGTTGAAAAATTTGGTAAAACGCAGCAGAAACGTGCAAGCAAACAGAAGTGGTAGTAAAACGCGACAGAGTCGAGCTGGAGCCTCACTAAAAACTTCAGACGTCAACAGGTAATGTCCGCAGGTAAAGCTAGCCAGCCTAAGTCTCGTATATTATTAATAATAATATTAATGTTAATTTTCTCGAGTTAATGCGTGTCCAAAAATATATGTTACAGCAAATACATTATGAGTTATTTTTTTTAAGTATATTGTTTCCCGAAGTGAAGTAGCAGTGCAGTTAACTCATTCCCTAATTACTATACATGTTAACCCTTAAATGTCACCAACTTTGAATATCTAGGCTCTATATATAATAAATAGCAATGGCGACTGTTTGACAGAAATTAAAAGGAGGATGGCCATAGCAATGCAAATATTGAACAGCCTAAAAAGTCTATGGTCAAGCACCAGGAAGGAGGTGAAAATTAGAATTTTGAGAGCATGCATTTTCCCTGTGGCTACATACGGATGTGAGTCGTGGACTATCTCTCAGTCCTTAAGAAAGAGAAAAGTGGCTTTTGAGCTGAAATACTATAGAAAGATTATCAGAATATCTTGGACGACGAAAAAGAGGAGAAATACTGACATCTTTAAAGATCTGAACATCAAGGAAGATTGGTCAATAAACAGCATCCTGTCTCGGAAGCTGAAATATTTTGATCATATTTACCACGACGGATTGGAAAAAAAATAATAGCAGAGAGCATGGTACCAGGAAGGAGGAGCAGGGACCGACTAATACGAAGATGGGCACAGGATATAAGTGACTCCTTGAGTATGAAAGTGCATGAGGCAGGAGAGCTGGCGAAAGACCGAGTTTCTTTCAGGCAGGCCGTAGTGAGAGCGGCGTTCTGCAAAGGACCTGCTACATGATGATGATGATGATGATGTTAACCCTTAAATGCGCGGCTCTCTAACGTAGTTGGCTAAACCGGATTGCGCGGAGACCGGGTGACGAACTCCTTGTGGTCCGGGTTCATTACCGGGGGTAGGCAAAAAAGCCACATTTCTCCCAGATTTACGGTATTTACAATGGAATCAAGGCAGAAAGGTTGCGATATCCATAATACCGAGCCTAAGGGTTAACAACTCATGGCTTCTGGATACTAAAACAAACAAACAAACAAACCCTTAAATATGAAGCTCAACTTTTCTTGACCGCATCCTCGGGAAGACTATGAAAACTGTTTGATGCTCGTACAAAAGACAGTCGTCATTTTACTTTTTTTCCAAGTTAAATGAGACATCTAGAACATATTCTGACAGGGAAGTCAGCACCATCAATCGTCGTGCAGGGGAGACAGCACCATCAATCGTCGTGCAGGGGAGACAGCACCATCAATCGTCGTGCAGGGGAGACAGCACCATCAATCGTCGTGCAGGGGAGACAGCACCATCAATCGTCGTGCAGGGGAGACAGCACCATCAATCGTCGTGCAGGGGAGACAGCACAAGCAATCGTCGTGCAGGGGAGACAGCACGATCAATCGTCGTGCAGGGGAGACAGCACGATCAATCGTCGTGCAGGGGAGACAGCACAATCAATCGTCGTGCAGGGGAGACAGCACAAGCAATCGTCGTGCAGGGGAGACAGCACAATCAATCGTCGTGCAGGGGAGACAGCACAATCAATCGTCGTCCAGGGGAGACAGCACAATCAATCGTCGTGCAGGAAAGTCAGCACAATAAATGATCCTAGATTCTCATTCTTATTTCTCAGATTAACACAAGCCTTCAATTGTATCAAACAAAAACTGGAATATCCAAGGGATATGTGATTTCCATCCAGCACATTTGATAAACTTAAATAAAAGATTATGTCATTATCAGCAAGCAGCGGGCAGAGTAACTGGAGAAATGTCAATCCAGTTACAGGAGCAATTGAGTGCAAGGTGGGGTTACATTCGAGCTTCCCTCTCTCTCTCTCTCTCTCTCTCTCTCTCTCTCTCTCTCTCTCTCTCTCTCTCTCTCTCTCTCTCTGCGAGCGAGTGAGTGTGTGAATTCATTATCATGTTTTGCCATTACATGTCACATAGGGCTAACAGTTTATTCCTCCATTACACTAAATCCTGCTTGATCAGTTCAATACCATACATGGAATCCAGTCCAATAGCTTTGGCCTCTCTCCTCAACGTTCGTCTTAGGGTTTCGTGTAGGCGTCCTCCCATCGTAAATTCCTTTATTTCAAATTGTAAGGCCCGTTTGGTGATTCTCTGGTGCTTTCTTTTAAAGGATGTGTCCAATGTAGCGCCACCTTCTCTGTCTTATAATTGTTGATGCTAACATCACAGCACTCGGGGCATTCCCATACGCACTCCGTTCGCATCCTCAACAGCCAACACAATACTAATGGTGTCAGTCGTAGTCTGGTTATATATACGTCTTGCCTTTCCGCTGAGCGTAGTGTGCCGGCCGAATTCTCTGGTCACACCCAGATGCATTATTCTACAAAGCCCTTAATAGTCTAATTTCTCTTCTGACTTCGTTACTTGTTCCCAAAGGGCTCTGGCCACATCTGCCTTGGCACGTATCAGTTCACCACCCAGCGATGCAGATCTAGCCAGTCTGTCTGTCTGTTCATTCCCCTGCACGCCGGCATACCCTGGAGAAAAGATCCAAAGTATGCTCACTATCCGTGACCTCGCCTGTGAAGCTTGAAACTCTGCTCGAAGCAACCCTATCTTCACTTTTTGCAGCATCCTTTCAGAGTCCGTTAAAATTCCGACATGTGTATGTAAATTGTTATCTAGCCACCAGCAAGCTGCAATAACCGCCTCCACCTCCATTCTCATGCTAGATGTCGTGGTATCATTTGCTAGGCTGTCCTGCACTAAAGATTTCCCGGTGGCTTTCCTTTCTTCAGAAGATTGGTGGCCTTTCTAATTTCCTCTTTAGATAGTTTCTCACAATTGATATCCAGTTCCATTTCTAAAGGTTGGATATCTGAGGAATCTCTGCACCTGGTCTATTCAGAAGTATTTCAAAATATCCAGCCCACCTGTCCATTTGATCTTTAGTGTTAGTGAGTACCCTCCCTTGACTATTTTGATTGAGCCACTTGGCTGACTATATTTACCTACTAATTCCCTTGTGGTACTGTAAAGGTATCTGATATTTCCCTTTGCTGTTGCTTATCCTCTTCTTGTGCAAGGTGATCTAAATATTTCCTATTATCTGCCCTCATACAACTCTTAACTTCATTATTGGCGTCTGTGTATTTTCATGAGCTCTAGCTTTAGCAGCCCTAATTTTGCTATTGTTTTCGTCTGCCTTTTTACTTTTACTTTCTTAGATCATTTAATGGATTCTGGTGTTATCCATGCGTTATGTTTCGGTTCTTTTTCACCAAAAATTTCTACACAAGATTCGTTCCTGGAACTTATTAGAGACTGTTACTGAAAATTGTTCCTTAATTTCTATATCCCTGAGATAACCTACATTATACTGGTTTCAATGACTATAAGATATTATGCATCGTTTAAGTTGTAACTTGATTTTACTTACCACCAGGAAATGGTCAGTAACTACATCGGCACTTCTGAAAGCCCTAACATCATAAAGGGATAATCTAAACATTTTGTTAATACATCGGTAAATGTTAAATGTTGAATTAAGAATCGACGTCACAGCACACGGGACAACCCCATAAGCGCCCCGTCACCATCCTCGGCATCAAACGAAAAGTTCCAGTTCCGATGGCACCAGTAACTGTCTGATTGTTTATCCGTCTCGCCCTTTCCTTGAGTGTTGAGTGTTTGCCAGAACCCCTGGTAACTCCTAACTCGCCATTCTCCTCAGACCGAAATGATCTGTTTGAGCTTCTGCACTGTTCACTCGCCCCCAGAGGGCCCTCACAGCGTTTAGCTTGTCATACATCAATTTACCCCCATGTGGTGCAGAACCGGCCAGTCTATCTGCCTGCTAATTTTCCAACACACCGGCATAACCTGGACAGAATGTCCAACATGCTCTGTGAGTCAGTAACAATCACGGCATGTGTGTACAGCTGATATGTAAGCCAGCAGAAGGCAGCAGTGACTGCCTCCATCTCCATTCTTAAACTAGACGTTGTGATATCATATGCCAGGCTTTGTTGCACTAAGCGACGTCCATTCGCCTTTGCTATAAACCCTCAACACAGAGCCATCTATAAAGATAATCCCATCACCTTCGCGGTCATTGTCATGAATCATTTGTTGAACTTCTGATTCTGCAGCACCAGCTGGCCAGTCCCTGCACTCGCGTCCCAAAATGATAAGAACCCTACACAAGTCTAAAACCTGATCGGACACTTTGACCCACTCCTCCCCTCGCCTAAATTTATCAAACCTGCACACATGTCCAATTGGGTCTTCAGCTTGCGCCACCCAAGACCTTCCTCTTTTCAGCCTGTGACCCTTAGATCGACCCAGGGTCTCATGCAAGAGGTGCTTTTTGTCTGCAGCTACTCTTAGATATCACTTTACTTGCAAAACTGTAAGCCTATCTGCAATAGTAGGCAGTAGAAGTATATATGTATAGCATACATACCACCGGGGTACCTTTTGTACATCCCAGAATTACCCGCATGGCTTCATTCTGTTTGCGTTCAGGTTTCATCAGCTGCTCTTTGATATGGTAAGCATTACGTGTCCACCGACAGGTTCACATGCTGGAACATTGTAAACAACATTCTTTGTTCCATGTCTTTTGCTGCCATAATCTTAAGAGCACTGTGTCCTTTTTGGCATTTCACCGCAGCTGCCTCCACATGATCCCTACAGGACAGGCTTCAATAGACAGTGATACCCAGGTACCTCAGTTTGTTTTCTCTTTTAATGTTACTGTTATTAATTGTGGGGCTTGTAACATTAGCTCTCACAATTCTATTATCCAGAGAGTACCACAAAACAGCCGCCTTTTCTGAGTTGATGACAGCACCCACTTCTGCACACCAGTTAGTCACTTTGTCTACAGTTGCTTGAAGCTCTTGGGCAAGACCATCGTCAGCAAATGTCAATATCCTTCCAACACATTGCGCTTCAAGTTCTGCACTCTTTCTTGTATACACATTGAAGATCACATAGGTGATCAGTTTGATCGGTTGTCTTATGGTCTGGTGATTCCTATCTTGCCCTTTGTATTCTTTTATGAGGGGAAATGCTTTCACCTATAGTGTTAAATACCTCGATATCACGTAGATATGAATATTCAGTAGCTGGAAAAGCTTGTGTGTGCACATAAAAAGTATTTCATAGATGTATTATTTGAAGGCATTATATATAATCGCCCTCTTAATAATCTTATAATCTTGTGCAATATATCCTTGCCATTGAGAGTAAGAAAAATAATTCTTGCTTGCTACATACATGCAGCTTTAATATATGGCTGTGAATCCTGGACAATCAGTAGGCAGGCCAAACAATTTCTGGAGGCCTCCGAGATGTGGTTTTACAGAAGAATGCTTAGAATACCTTGGACAGCCAAAAAGAGCAACCAAGAGCTTTTGAAAGAGGCGGGAGCCCGAAGACAACTTATCACTGACATCAGAAGGAGACAGTCATCATTTTTCGGCCATGTTATGAGAAGAGGGAAAAAAGAACATGTTGTGACCCCTGGAAAGATATGTGGAAGGAGAGATAGAGGAAGACAACGAGAGAAGATGTTTGACAGTCTTGTTGCATGGCATGGTGGTGTGTCGGCACACGAACTGATACATGCTGCAGGAAATCGTAGATTATGGAGAGGCATGATCGCCCACGCCAGTCGGCAAGGCACCTGATGATGATGATATAATCGCCCATTCTTCCAGCGTTCACCAGCTGTTTGGCTGTTTGCCCAATTATGAAACTTTTGCGTGCAGATACGTTTGACAGATTTACTTATTTGTATGCAGACTCTTGGTTCTTTACCTCCCAGGTAAATGAACTCCGACTTAGAAGGAAACATCCCTCATTAATTAACTGTAACGACATGCTTGTCAGGAGGGCAGTGGCTGTATTCTGTAGTAGTAGTAGTAGTAGTAGCAGCAGCAGCAGCAGCAGCAGCAGCAGCAGCAGCAGCAGCAGCAGCAGCAGCAACAACAACAGCAGCAGCAGTAGTACTATTTTAGACTACAGGTTATGAGGGTCTATTCTGTTTTTCCTTTACACAGACGGTTCAGTGTCAAGAGGCATAGGAATTGCTTGTGGTTTCTTAGCAAAAGTTAATGGTCGACGTTTGGTGCAGGAGAGCCTAGCATATGATACCACAACATCCAGCTTAAGAATGGAGGGGGAGGCGGTTACTGCAGCTTTCCGCTGACACACACACACACACACACATCGTGATTGTAAATGACACAGAAAGCATGCTGAGGAAGATCAGGACAGGAATGCTGCGTAGAGTGGTATGCCTTGCTGCTGAGGACACGGGCGAGGAGTGTTGTCTTGATTTTTTCACCGGGTAACGCCGGTGTGTTGGGAAATGAACAGACAGACAGACTGGCTGGCTCTGTACATCTTGGTGGAATACTGGTACATGATAAGGCAGACGCGGTTAGTGCCTTGTGGGAGAGCGTCTACAGTTTAGAGGAGCAGATGGATTGTTTGTTTTAGTATCCAGAAGCCATGAGTTATTAACCCTCAGGCTCGGTATTATGGATGTCGCAACCTTTCGGCCTTGATTCCATTTTAAATACCGTAAATCTGGGAGATAATGTGGCTTTTCTGCCCACCCCCGGGAGTGAACCCGGACCACAAGGAGTTCGTCACCCGCTCACCGCGAAATCCTGTTTAGCCAACTACGCTAGAGAGACGGGCGAGCAGATGGATCACCACAGTCTGGTGAGATTGATGCGGGGAGGGGGGGGGGGAAAAGGGGGGGGGGGGAGTGACGAGAGGTTCTGGCAGATGCTCGAGGCTCAGATCTACCCAAAGTATTTCATGATCTTCGCCAGTGCTACACAGCTTGTGCACTGTGCTGAGCTTCTTGTGACTCGCACTTGGGTTAGAAGAAGAACGGAGCACTTATGGGTTACTACCCGTGTTTCAACGATGTTGATATGTTGTTCAAACCTCAAGGGCTCTAATTTGTTATCCCGAGACAGGAAAAAAAAAAAAGAGTTAACGCAGTCTACGCATATTTAGTTTCGAATGACGTTCAATGTCAAGGCTGGCAACAAGTTCATGACCTGGGCCCTAGGTGAAGCGAAAGTTTGCAACAACTGAACCATGTGAGGGGGACCTGGTGAAGACATTCTCACTCACCACACCGAGCCGACTCCAAGCATTCGATGGGCTGACTGCAGACAGGCTGCCCTAGACATTCACCATGGTTGTAGATGATGAGACTATGCCGTTTCCACCGCAGGGAAATGCCATAACGCCAGTACAACATATGGTTTCATCATGCACTGGCGCTGTTTTAACCTCATTGTTGAGTGAGTTCAAATATATGTTATATAATATTAATTATGTAACACATTTTGTATTTGGGTTTACCTTCTTCTTTCCAGCATTGGAACACTAAATACAGGTGGTCACTGTCGGTAGGATAGTACAGTCAATGCTGGAAAGGCAGAATCTAATTATCAAACTGGCTAGATTGTTTACAAAACACAATTTATCAGTTTATCAATTTACGAACATGGTGTGTCCGCAGAGCTGTGTTTGTTGTATTGTAAACATGACTTCTCTTTTAATTCAGTAGATCCTGTCCAACAGTTCAGCAAACAGTGTGTGTGAGTGCATTTCATGTGGTGTGTGTGTGTTTGGGGGGGGGGGGGGGGGGGAGAGCACGAGTTGGATAAACAAACAGAACTAAATTTGACTCATAAATGTAAAGTGTGGAATTACATACTAGCCTAGGTGAGGCGAGAACATAACTGGCCCACGATACATATTCTGCTGTTAACTGTTGCTTTCCAACTACAGCCCTCTTGTTCCTCCACACTGAAGCTAGAGAGGGGCTGACTTTTGTGTTTCACTATGCTGGCAGGTAGGGTCTCCCATCTTGGTCAGGCAAAGGAATCGGGGCCAAGATGAAGAGAGATATAAACTTCCTGGTAGTTAGTCTGGGAACAGTAAAAGACAGGAGTCAGCAAACCTGAAACAAAATGTTTGTCACAATCACATATACTTGACAAAACAGTGCAGCATAACAAGTGTTGTAATTATGTCACAGAGTCAAAGAAAACAGCGTAGTCATAATACCATGGAACACACGCAGCCCACCCGTCCCCCACCCCGATTTTTAATTAACTCTGCAGTGTCCACCTGTTAAAGTTTTTAGTTAAGGGTATGCAAGGCAGAAGCATTGTTTATTTACATGGCTTGTGTAGCTTGAGATTATAGTAGTGTGTTTGCATGACGCACCCCCCCCCCCCCCAACCCCTTTCCTGGTTTTATCAGGCAAGAATGGATTGAAACATTAAGCACCTCATGTATTGCTGCCCTAACCTTCCTCTTTGTGCCAGTTGATGCTGGTGTTCAAAGTAATGAGGGTGCATATTATCTTAGTGACACTGCAGTTGCTATGGCTGGTTCAGTACTGAACAGAAGTGATGTTATCAATGCCATGCGCAGCACTTACCAAGAGGACGAGCACACCAAAGGGCATGACTCTCTATCCATGTCAATGCTGATGGACATGGGGGAGGGGGGGGGGGGGGGGGGCAACCTGGAGCTGCAAGAAATGAATATTTCACTAAGGGGACAAGACATTTCATTAACCAACACAGAACAGGCGTCATCAGTCGTTTTACACTTGTGGAGCTTCTGAGGAGGAGATCTGAGCACCTATGGATCTGTTCAGAGTTCTGTGATAATAATCTTTACTAATGACTAAGAGTAGAGCGACATTCTGTAAAGGACTTGCTGATTGGTGATGAGTGTTTACGAATTAAAAAAAGGTCTCACTTGTTTTACATCTCGTCAAGCACCTAACATTTGTTAAAAGTATCAACACAATGAAGAAAACAATGCTCGCTGCATGCTTATGACACTCGTAAAAAAAGCCGTAAGGTGTGGAAGCTACCGATTGCCAGTATTTCGATGTAAGCGGCACATACATTCTCTCAACAGTAAATCGACAACGATAAAAATATCATCTGATACCTGCTGCTGGGTAAAAGTTACCTGCTAATGCTTACACATGTGAATTGATCATGCCTCACCACTGAACATAAATCTGTCTGTTTCTAAAGTGATTTTTTCAGAGCTGTGCTGTGAAGGATGTTTGTGGCTTTGACTGAGAATTTAAAAAAATAAATTATAAAGCCTTCAGGTGTATTGGGAGTTTAGGGCAAGACCTATATTTTATATACCAGTTGGCACTTGGTGGGGGATATGGTCAGCTGGATCGATCTGAGAACCAAGGTCATTTAAAAAAAAAATGTCCAGCCCCCACGGGACCTGAACTGACGACCTTCCGATCCGAGGGTGAGTGCCTAGCTGCTACACTACAGCGGCTGCCTTACAGAATAGAACACAGTAATTGCCTTAATCAGCTAAGTCAAGCTCATATTATGCTGGAGGTTTCCTCTAACCCTGCTGATGTTCCACAGTGACTCCGTTTGATGTGGTGAAGATTCGCTTGCAGTCGCAGTCGAAGCCATCTGCATTTACCAAAGGCCATTGTTTCCTCTACTGCAACGGTTTAATGGATCATTTGTGTCCCTGTGTCAGCGGCATGACACCTTCTTCCCAGTGGTATTATAGACCTGGCCATTTCAATGGAACTTTTGTGAGTTATTTCTTGTTTTTCCTGTATCCTTGCATTTTGTTAACATGGAACTTAGTGGCCTTATGTTAAACTAAACTTTGAGATTCAGTTAGGGGGTTCTGAGTACATTTGTGTGTCTTTAAAGGTATTTATTTAACTCAAGGATTTAAATAATTAAAGGAAATCATACATTAACAGTCAGCCTCCGTGTGGGTTCCGGGGCCCCATTGTGGGGGAAAACAAGAATAGACCCACTGCCTCCCCAAAAGCATGTCGTAAGAGTCGACTAATTGGGGAGCTTCCTTTGAAGTCGGAGTGCATCTGCCGGAGAGGCAAGGAACCAACAGTCTGTATTCAAGAGAGTGAGATCTGTAAAACTGATGCACACGCAACACTCAGGTTCTGGAGCAGGACTGCAGTTCAGTAGTGGACGAGCAACCAGAACCTTCCGCCAGAGTTTACAGCTGGTGAACGCGAAGAAGAAGAAGAAGAAGATTAACAGTCAGCAGACATTTAAAATAACAACAGCATTACCAGTACCATACCGCCATCTCACCAGTATCAAACAGATACCTCAGTGTTATTCTACAGACACCTCAGTAGTATCATACAGACACATTAGTAGTATCATACCGACACCTCAGTAGTATCATACCGAACCTTCAGTTATATCATACTGAACCTCATAGTATCATACAGACACATCAGTAGTATCGTACTGACACCTCACCATTGTCATACAGGCACATCAGTAGTATTGTACCAACACCTTAGTAATATCACACTGAAACTTCACCACAATCATACAGACATATTAGTGGTATCAAACATACACCTAAGTAGTATCATCCACGAATACATCGAATAAGTCCTGAACCGTTCCAGCCACGTGATCGGTGACCATGACTCTTTTACTTGCCAAGGTCATGGCGCATCCGATCATGCCACCAGATTCCGTCTGGGATGTAACCTTGGCCCATTGACCTCGATAGGTAGTGAAAATCACTGTGACCCCGTCTTCAATAGTTTGTATCAAGAAAAGATACAAAACCGAATGAATAGTATATCAGCAAGCTTCACAGTATCACAAACATAATGTGAATGTTGCGGTTACGGAACCTTTATCAGCATGGACATAAAACAAACAATACCTCACAAATACACAAAATCACTTAGCTGGTATCTCACTTCAGCCGGGTCAATTTGTACACAGATATCAACTGGGCCAAACAGATCTGATTAATTTCAACCACATTTTAAAATGATGTTTGTTGCCACAAAAGCCAGACTTCCTTACTGTTGACATAGCCAAATGTTTCTTGTCCTTGTAAGCTCTTGAAGTTAATCTTCCCATTCTCTTGTGTTCTTTGGTTTTCTTTTACTAGTAATGGGCCAAGGAAACAACTTATTGGCTCATTCTTTACAAATTACAACCGATGTGGGAGTTTTTAAAATGTGCAGCTTACACATCATTTTTTATGTTGGCCTTTATCTGAAAAGGCTAGGTATCCAATCTCACTGATCAGGGGGGATGTTTGATATGATAACAATTCTTGTAAGCATTCTCAACCATGTCCTGAGGTTTGAACCTAATAATTTCTGGGTCTGAGGCAGACATACTTTTTAAACAACTTTCTGTTTGTGTACGCACATCCACTGGCATATAGTTAAATATTTCACCACCGTCTTGTAACAGTGGTGTGAAATTATTCTGACTGGCTCCTAAAATCAAACAGTAATGAATTTGTACTGCATTGTTTTTTGATCCACGTAACAAAAAGGACTGTTTATGGTATTGTTCTTTATTCATTTTTATTTCTTCAGGATGCAATGGCCAAAATTGTAAGAAATGAAGGTCTGACCTCTTTATGGAGTGGGTTGCCTCCCACATTGTAAGTTTTATTCAGTTTTGACTTTATGGAGTGGGTTGCCTCCCACATTTTAAGTTTTATTCAGTTTTGACTTTATGGAGTGGGTTGTCTCCCACATTGTAAGTTTTATTCAGTTTTGACTTTATGGAGGGAGTGGGTTGCCTCTCACATTGTAAGTTTTATTCAGTTTTGATTTTATGGTGGGTATTGCTGACCATGTTTGTTTAACTTTCATTTATTTGTGTTGGTTGCAGGCATAGTTCTTGAATTCTTTTTTCTAGTTCTTGAATTCTTTTTCTAGTTCTTGAATTCCTTTTCTAGTTCTTGAATTCCTTTTCTAATTCCTAGTAAGTTTTTCTGCACTGAAGGAGTTGTACTCAAATTATCTTGATTCTCTTGTTTTGTCGCTACAGCAGTAGTAAAAGCATGGCAGTAGCAAAGATACTATAAAGGCAAATGGATGGATAAGGGAAACAATGATAAACTACCTTACTATTCATCACAGGAAACTCATCATGCCAACTGAAGAAAGAAATAGAGAATCTGAACATCAGTGAAAAATAGTTCATAAACAGCACTGTACACCAGAATCTGAACATCAGTGAAAACTAGTTCATAAACAGCAATGTACACCAGAAACTGAACATCAGTGAAAAACTAGTTCATAAACAGCACTGTACATCAGAATCTGAACATCAGTGAAAACTAGTTCATGAACAGCACTGTACACCAGAATCTGAACATCAGTGAAAACTAGTTCATGAACAGCACTGTACACCAGAATCTGAACATGAGTGAAAACTAGTTCATAAAAAGCACTGTACATCAGAATCTGAACATCAGTGAAAACTAGTTCATAAACAGCACTGTACACTACAATCTGCAATATTTTGACAATTTTTATTATTCTAGTGGTTTAGACAAGAAAATATTGGAGGGCAGCATAGCAGGGATTGACCAGCACAAATGTGGAAACTCAATGCTGGAAACATCTTGGGCAGGGCAATACACCAGCAAGAGACTTGGAAACACAATACTGGAGACATCTTGGGCAGGACAATACACCAGCAACAGTGTGGAAACACAAAACTGGAGACATCTTGGGCAACAATACACCAGCAAGAGACTTGGAAACACAAAACTGGAGACATCTTGGGCAGGACAATACACCAGCAACAATGTGGAAACACAATACTGGAGACATTTTGGGCAGGACAATACACCAGCAAGAGACTTTTAAACACAATACTGGAGACATTTTGGGCAGGACAATACACCAGCAAGAGACTTGGAAACTCAATACTGGAAACATCTTGGGCAGGACAATACACCAGCCAGAGACTTTTAAACACAATACTGGAAACATCACATCTTGGGCAGGGCAATACACCAGCAAAAATGTGGAAACACAATACTGGAGACATCTTGGGCAGGACAATACACCAACAAGAGACTTGGAGAGGGACTGAAAGGTTTTCTGAATGACCTTTAAAGATGACTCCTACAGGACAACTTCTGCAAGCATTATATAATTGTGCTTTTTCTGTTACTACATGTTACTACATCTGTTGTAAGACTTGCTACTGAAATATATCAAACCATAATTTCTGTTGCTACATATAACATCTGTTGTAAGACTTGATATCTATCAAACCATAATTTCTGTTGCTACATATTACATCTGTTGTAAGACTTGATATCTATCAAACCATAATTTCTGTTGCTACATATTACATCTGTTGTAAGACTTGATATCTATCAAACCATAATTTATGTTGCTACATATTACATCTGTTGTAAGACTTGCTACTGATATATATCAAACCCTAATTTCTGTTGCTACTTATTACATCTGGTGTAAGACTTGATATCTATCAAACCATAATTTCTGTTCCTACATATTACATCTGTTGTAAGACTTGCTTCTGATATATTTCAAACCATAATTTCTGTTCCTACATATTACATCTGTTGTAAGACTTGAAATATATCAAACCATAATTTTTGTTCCTACATATTACATCTGTTGTAAGACTTGATATATATCAAACCATAATTTCTGTTCCTACATCTGGTGTGTGAATTCTGTTATTATTAAATCATATCATTATTTATGTTATTGTATCTTGTCACTGCTTCTTTTATTGTAAGAATAAAACTTTCTTTATTGCTTCATAGTTCTATTTCTGTTGCTATATACTAATGTGATTACATTATTGCATCATAATACTTTTTTGATTTTGATTTTTAAAACCACATCTTTCATTTATTAATTCATCATCATCATCAGTTCCACTTCTTCTGTTGAGCATTGTGGGGAGGGACAGTTTGTGATCCATTTCTTGATGGGCATCAATGGCTACTGTCATTGAAAAACATGCTGAGGAAGGTGAGGCCAGGCATACTTCATACAGAGTGGTATACTTCGCTTCAGATGTCACTGGTAAAGAGCATTGTCTGGATCTTGTCTCCTGTCATGCCCTTGTGTTGGGAAATAAACAGGCAGACAGATTGGCTGGTTGTCCACAACCTGGTGAAATACTAATGCATGATAAGGCAGACAGGGTTAGGTCTTATTGAGGCAAATGTAAAATTTAGAGGAGCAACTTTGTCATCACAGAATGGTGAGATTGGTGCAGCAAGAGTGACTAAGAGATCTGGCCGGTACTCCTTGTCAAGTGACCTTCATTCCTGAGACCAAAAATATATCTTTTCTGTATCCTAGTCTGTTCACTTGTGGCAACTGCCTTGTCAAGTGACCTACATTCCTAAGACCAGAAATATATCTTTGAAGACACTATGAAGAAAGCATCATCATCCTCTTTTTAATCTGGAGCAGACAGATGTGATGTCTGGAGCAGACAGATGTGATGTCTGGAGCAGACAAATGCGATGTCTGGAGCAGACAGATGTGATGTCTGGAGCAGACAGATGCTATGTCTGGAGCAGACAGATGCGATGTCTGGAGCAGACAGATGTGATGTCTGGAGCAGACAGATGTGATGTCTGGAGCAGACAGATGTGATGTCTGGAGCAGACAGATGTGATGTCTGGAGCAGACAGATGTGATGTCTGGAGCAGACAGATGTGATGTCTGGAGCAGACAGATGTGATGTCTGGAGCAGACAGATGTGATGTCTGGAGCAGACAGATGTGATGTCTGGAGCAGACAGATGTGATGTCTGGAGCAGACAGATGTGATGTCTGGAGCAGACAGATGTGATGTCTGGAGCAGACAGATGTGATGTCTGGAGCAGACAGATGTGATGTCTAGAGCAGACAGATGTGATGTCCTGAGCAGACAGATGTGATGTCCTGAGCAGACAGATGTGATGTCTGGAGCTGATAGATGTGATCTTGAGTCTTCTATAAGCTGTATCAGTTTGTCTGTATATTTCCCACATGAAGCTTATTTCTCTAAACCATCTTGTCTGTAGGTATGCAGACTGGGCTAGTCTCAGAATGGTTTAAATGTGTTCAACAACTTTTTTAAAAACTTTGAATGAAAACAGCAGATTGAAGATGTACCGAAGAAGTAACATTTTAGAATCTGAAGCACAGTTAATGGTTCATGGGAGGAAGAGTATTCTGTGCAGTATATCTTTTGTCAAATGAGGTTACAGCAAGAGTTCTCAAGAGCTCTATATATAGCCAGTCCCAATCTACAGAGGTGATTAATTAGTAAGCAGATTATTGAGAAAAATGAGTGAGAAATTATGTGGAAGGTAGAGAGATGTAATTTTTAGAAAAATGATGAAAACACAGTAGCCAGATAAAAGCATAATAAGATCTGAAAACTTGCTCATAAACAAGCATCATATTTCAGATCCAAATCCACCCTGGCAACATCAGCATCACAGTGGTTTAGACAGACCAGTAGCAGAAGGTGTTGCCCAGCAACTGAAGAACCAGGTCATTAGAGACACCCAGGGTGGGTAAATGCATGAGGCAGGGGAACTAGCAAAGTCTGGAGAGTTTGTCCCACTGGCTGTAGAGACTGTAATGATGATTGCTACTTGTATTATTGTGTTGTATTTTGTTATTGTGTTTTATTGCTACTTGTGACGCAGGGTGATGGCAGTGCCAGCCACGGTTGTCTACTTCACCAGCTACGAGCAGATCAAATTTGTCCTTGGTTACCAGGATGGCGTTGTCAGTTACAGCTGGAAGCCCATGGTGGCAGGGGCTGTCGCAAGAGGTAGATGACACAACTGTTTGAGCCTTGTTGTTTGCTAGTTCCACACCTGTATGTTAGTGTGTTGATTGGTAACTAACTTGGTGCTGTCGCAAGAGGTAGATGACACACCTGTTTGAGCCTTGTTATTTGCTAGTACTACACCTGTATGTTAGTGTGTTGATTGGTAACTGACTTGGTGCTGTTGCAAGAGGTAGATGTCACACCTGTTTGAGCCTTGTTATTTGCTAGTACCACACCTGTATGTTAGTGTGTTATTGGTAACTGACTTGGTGCTGTCGCAAGAGGTAGATGACACACCTGTTTGAGCCTTGTTATTTGCTAGTACCACACCTGTATGTTAGTGTGTATTGATTAGTAACTGACTTGGTGCTGTCGCAAGAGGTAGATGTCACACCTGTTTGAGCCTTGTTATTTGCTAGTACCACACCTGTATGTTAGTGTGTTGATTGGTAACTGACTTGGTGCTGTCGCAAGAGGTAGATGACACACCTGTTTGAGCCTTATTTGCTAGTACTACACCTGTATGTTAGTGTGTTATTAGTAACTGACTTGGTGCTGTCGCAAGAGGTAGATGACACACCTGTTTGAGCCTTGTTGTTTGCTAGTACCATACTTGAATGTTAGTGTGTATTGATCAGTAACTGACTTGGTTATATAAAACCTTTTTTAATTCTCAGAGACTGTTCACATTTTTCACTGCATTCCTTTCTCATTAAATCTCATACCTTCTGTATTCTCCATATGAAATTTTCATGCAGACTTTGTCATTTCATTTTGTTTCTCCATGTCCGTGCTGTTTTGGTGAAGGATATTTTTAACTGGACAAATGTTGTGACATTCACAGTGTGGGCAGCGAGTCTCATCAGCCCAATAGAGATGGTGCGCACAAAAATGCAGTCAACAAAAATCAACTATTCACAAGTTCAACAAGCAGTCAAAGAAACTATCAGAAAAAATGGGGTGCTGAGTCTGTGGAAGGGCCTGGGCCCCACTCTGTTACGAGATGTACCTTTTTCTGGTAGGTGATGTGTTTTTTGATTGTTAACATTGTTTTATACGCTGCATTTGCTGTATTTTCTTCAGCAGATGTCAAAAGATGAAGCAGAGTGCTGGCTTTTACTGGCTTATTGTCATTACTGTCTGCTTTCACCACTTTTTATTGTGCGGTTGGATTTGCCAGGTGGGGGTGGAAGTGACTGACTGACTGACTTTCTACCCCACCAGGACATCACACAAGCGATAAACACTCAATGACACAATGTGCCACCCTGCGGGTGAGGATCACGTGGAGAGGTTCCAGAAACCGCGTTCAGCCTTTAGGCCATATTTATGGCCAGGCTATATTGCGGCCCCTGGCATGAGCCAGAGTAGGGCAAAAAAGAAAAATGTCATCCTAAACAGGATGGGATATATAAATGATAAGGGGTGGAAGTCCTAATCCTGCGGTTTTATGGCCACATGTCTAGTGCAGAAAAAAAAACTGAAGGTTACAAAGATCCCCCCCCCCCCCCTCCCCCCCCCCCCCCCCCCCCCCCCCCCCCCCCCCCCCCCCCCCCCCCCCCCCCCCCCCCCCCCCCCCCCCCCCCCCCCCCCCCCCCCCCCCCCTCCGACTGAAATAAGCCATCACTTTACCAAGGATTCAAACCTGGGTCTCTGGAGACAGCCCAGCACTCTAAACCATTTTGCCAGCTGCTCCTCATTACTAGGTTATAGTGCAGTAAAGTTGTGACAAGTACAGAAACTAATGTAACTATGTAAATGAATCATATCAGATGGGAGGTGAATCACAGAATGAGCCAAGGATAATAATAGTGTTTGTAGTTGTCCAATATGTAATGTGTTGTTTAGTACTTGATGAGTCAATGAAATTACAAGTGTTTGTAGCTGTTGTCCAATATGTAATGTGTTGTTTGGTTCACAATGAGGCAAGAAAGTTACAAGTGTTTATAGCTGTTGTCCAGAATGTAATTCTTTGTTTGGAACAGAATGAGGCAAGGAAATCAAGTGTTTTTCAATATGTAATATGCATAGGGCAAGGAAAGTATATTTGTTATTTTGTCTAGTATGTAACGTGGTGTTTGGTACAGAATGAGGCAAGGATGTTACAAGTGTTTATAGCTGTTATCCAGAATGTAATTCTTTGTTTGGAACAGAATGAGGCAAGGAAATCAAGTGTTTTTCAATATGTAATATGCATAGGGCAGTGAAAGTATATTTGTTATTTTTTCTAGTATGTAACATGGTGTTTGGAACAGAATGAGGCAAGGAAATCAAGTGTTTTTCAATATGTAATATGCATAGGGCAAGGAAAGTATATTTGTTATTTTGTCTAGTATGTAACGTGGTGTTTGGTACAGAATGAGGCAAATGGACGTCGCTTGGTGCAGCAAACCCTGGTATATGATTTCACAACATCTAGTTTGAGAAGGAGGTAGAGGCAGTCACTGCCGCATTCCGCTGGCTTGAAAATCATCTGTACACACATGCTGTCATTGTAACTGAATCACAGAGCATGTAGCTCCAAATATGCTCCATGCAGAGTGGCAAGCATCACTTCATAGGTCCTGGGTAGTTAGCATCCTTTAGATATTCTCTCCAGGTCATACCAGTGTGTAGGAAAATGAGCAGGCAGAAAAACTGGTTGGTTCTGCACCACTAGGTGGTGAACTGATGTATGACAAGCTAGATGTTGTGAGTGAACAGTGTGGAAACGCAAATATATCATTACTGTCTGAGGAGAATGACGCTGCGAGGAGTTGCCAGGGTATCTGGCCGATGCTGAACACTTAAGGGAAAGGCGAGACGGATATACAATCAGACAGTTACTGGTGCCATCGGAATTGGAACTCTTTGTTTGCTGCTGAAGATGGAGACGGAGCGCTTATGAGAGTGTCCCGAGTGCTGTGATGTCAATTTATAATTCAACATTCAGAATGAGGCAAAGAAAGTACAAGTGTTTCTAGTTGTCCGGTGTATGCTGAGTTGACTGGTATCGAATGAGCCAAAGAAATGACAGATGTTTGTAATTGTTGTCCAGTGTATATGAAGTTGTGTGGTAGAAAGTGAATGTAAAAGTCTTGTTTGACACATTGGTTTCCTCAGCCATGTACTGGACTGGTTATGAGGTGACCAAGTCCTATGTTCTGGCTACAAAAGGACATTCTGATTTAACCTTCTATGAGAGTTTTGGTGCTGGAGCGCTAGCGGGATCTGTGAGTTTCTCATCATTATCTTTGCGATTGTCCATTGCACCACCTTCAGTGCCGGTTGATTATCATCATCAACATCATGATTTATGACCACCAGAATCACAGATCAAGTTTGTGTTTTAGGATCATCTAAATCATGAGATCAAGTCCTCTGTGTATCTGTCTCCCTGCCACTCTTTTCTTATCAAGTAATAAAGTCTAGCTGTCTTCACATCTCTACAAATATTGACTGTCTTTGCCTAACCTCACTAGACAATTTATGATGTATATCTGTTTATTGGAGGACTGCCATATTCACCTGTTTCTGTCTTTAGTATACATCTTCTGGCAACTTCCTGCTGCCTGGGAAAGCACACATCCATTGCCATCAGATGGCTTTAAGCTTCAGCAGTGCCTGCTTCACATGCACACAGCAGACAGGTTCCATGTGTGTGGTGGCTATTGGGTGTCAAAACGACAGTTTAAAAAAGAGAAACATGAAGAAGAAAAAACATTTGGTATCGGGCATTTGATACAGGTAAACTGAGACTTATAAGTAAATCAAAGAATAGTAACATTATAACACACCATACATGTCACAAGAGGCAACTAAGGATGGTTGTCACCAGTCTGTAGAAAACCAGTGTTGTAAAATTAAATCAGTCATTTAAAAAGTCTGAAGAAGAGAAGTCAACACTGACTTGTTGAGGACATGTTGGCCATTAGGAGATAAAAGGCAGCAGAATAAGAAAGAATGAATAATACTTGACTGGTAATCTGGTAATCCTAGTTTCAGCTTCATAGCAAACGAGTCACCCCATAGTTGTTCTGCTCCTGTGCCAACGAAAAACACACGTAGCTCACAGTGTCACACCATGCACTCAACACAGAAGCTGGGCGACGAAACTATATGCTTTCAGTCTACAAATGGAGCAAAAATGCGACGGCCACCGCCTGGAAGAAGTAAAAAAAAAATTTAAAAAATGCCACGGCTAAAAAAAAAAAAAAAAAAAGTGGCCGTGCCTAGCGTCCATTTTGACCTGAAGCATTATGTGAGGGTTAATAAATGGTCGCCCCAGCAGTACCCTCACTATTAGCTGGGGAAGGGACTTAGGACATTACATCCATCAGCAGGTATCGCCCCTACAACGACCTGACTGCCTTCGTTAACGACTGTTCACCCAACAGCCATGCAGTTCTTTGGCACGAAGGAGACACCTTGAACTTGGGTTTCGGAATGCCGACTTCCTACAAAATGTTATTTTGTGTTTTGTTCTCACAATCAACACCACTGCACATTGGGCACACCCATGCATGCACAGTTCTCCGAAGCAGCAGCCACTCTAAAGTACTTCTACTAATTGTCCCCATGAGAAGCTGGTTATATTGTCTCCTTTCTCGACCTTGAAGACGGCAAAGACGTGCTTCACTATGCTTAACTCCCATGTCACGCAATCAGGTTAGTGTCAGGGATTCGTCATTATCCACTAGCCCAGTACGTACAGTGTTGACGATATCTGCTCTGTCCATGCATTTTCCCGCAATCATCAGTGCAGTGCTTGCCAGTTGGGCCGCTCGCTCATTTCCCTTTATGCCCGCATGACCCGGTGTGTAGATCCAGGTTACAGAAGTTAAGTGCGATTTCCGAATGTTTTCTATCCATTCAGAGCGCATACTGCCTGTTGCTATTTTCTGAAGCATATTCATTGAGTCTGAGACAATAACTGCTTGTGTGGCGGTTTGCTCAGATACCCATGCTAAAGCTCTAGAAGCAGCGGCTATTTCCATGGTCATGCTTGACGTGGTTGTCTGGTAAGCGCCGCTGTCCTCATGTATTGTTTTCCCCCTTCTTTGCGCTGTGTATGCCCATGCTGACCTTGATCCGCGCTTCACGGATCCATCTGTGTAGATGATGATATCTTCTGAGTCTGAATGCTGATCTATCAGTTCCCTTACTTCTGTGTCTACAGCCGCAGAATCTGATCCCGACAGTACCTTCCAGTGTGATGACCACCTTAGAGACGCCATGCATGTCTACTGGTGTATTCATCCATTCTTTTCCGTGCCTGATAACGTCTAGTCACATACCTGCTGGATCAAATCCTCAGCCTTTGCCATCCAAGAGCGGCCTCTTTTGAGACGCGTTCCTTTTGTGTCGTATATAGCTTTGTGCAATGGGTGGTTAACGTCTGCCGATACCCTCATGTAAGCCTTGACTTGTGCCACTTTGTATCTGCTAGTCATCGTCGGCAAACCCAGGACATAATGCATGGCGTTGCAGGAGGTGTCTTTTGTGCAGCCGAGTATGAGTCTCATGGCCTCATTTTGTACTTGGTCCAGTCTTTCTAGCTGGGTTTTGCTGACAGTGAGGAGGCCAAGACCATAGTCAGTGACGCTAAGCACAAGCCCTTGATAGAGAAGGAAAAGTAGGCGTTGTTCAATATCAGCTGCTGCTAGCACCTTGAGTGCTGTCAGACCTTTTCTGGCTCTAAGTATGACGTTGTCTACATGGCATTTGTATGACAAGCATCTGTCAAATGTCATGCCCAGGTATTTCATGGTGTCCGTTCTCTCGATGTCCACACCACATATGCTTACGACTGGCGTTGGTGTACTGACGATGTGGGTATTCAGAGAGAACCATGTTAAGGAGGCTTTGGACGGGTTCACTTGAGCTCTTGATTCCTGGCACCACTCACTAAGTCTGTTCAGTTCGTGTTGTAGTGTGGTTGTAATTTCCTGCCTGTTTCTACCTCGACGGTAAACAAGGATATCATCTGCATACGACATCGTTCTACCTAGACCTACGCTTTGCGCACTCGTGACTCCTGCTGTGTACACATTGAAGAGCACAGGTGACAATGGTGATCCCTGTGGCAGACCCATTAGGACGCGTTGAGGTTCGGATGCCCATTTACCACATCGAAGCGACACTGTTCTTTCAAAAAACGCTGCTGCGATCCAGTTGACTAACTTTGTTTGTATCTGCATATCCAACAGCAGTCTGATGAGCATGTTGTATGGGACGCTGTTGTACACATCCTTTAAGTCAATAGCGGCTGCAGCAGTTTCCATTCCCTCCTGGAAACTCTCGTATGTGTCGCTGCAAATACTGCAGCTTGCACCATGTATCTCTTCCTGGTCGGTAACCACCTAGTGGAGCGGGGAATAGACCACCTGACTCTAATGTTTGGGTCAAATATTCTGGCCACGATTTTTTCCATGCGTTTTCCAATAGTGTTCTGAAATGTTATGATCCTATAGCCATTTATTCTCGTGTGGTCTTTCCCTGGCTTAGGAACTGGTCTGAGGTAGCTGTGGAGCCAGTCATCAGGAATAATGCCAGTTTTCATGGTGTTGTTAAAAATCGTGGATAGTTCATCCAAATCTGTCATGTCAAGGCTTTTGAAATCACTGTATCTAATGCCATCAGGCCCTGGAGCTGTGTCTGGACAGGTCTTCAGTGTTGCTCTGATGCAGTCCGTTGAGATGTATACTGTATCATCGACTTCCTCCATTTCAGCCATCTGGATATCATGTAAACTCTGTCTCATCTGCTCCCTCTCTTCCCTATCTTTCTTTTCCGTCTGCAGAAGAAATCTGTGCAGGATAGCCTCCCCTTTGTCTTTATCCGATTTTAACACCACCCCGTTGTCCATCTTTAGCTCGGGCATAACAGAGGTTTGTTTGCCTCCGTTCATCTTTTGGTGGAGCCGCCAACATTTTCTGAGAGATTTTTCGTAACCTATTTCTTGGCAAAAATGTTCCCACATTGTGTGCTTAGACTCCTTTGCGAGCTGCTTAAAATGTTCAGTGAGTATGTCTTTTTTGTGTTTAATGTCTTGTTTCTGAGCCTCAGTAAAATTCGAAGACTTTCTGCATTTCTCCCAGTCTGTGATGGCACCTCGTTTCTCTGTCCAGGCTTCTGCGACTTCAGGAGTCCATCATGGGGGTTGTTGAAAGATAGCTTTCTTCTTTCCCGGTGTTCTGCGTGACCTGTCTCGCAGATGCCAAATTACATCAGGCTGATTTGCAGCATACTGGAAAGTAGTGGCTGGTCTCTGATACCTTGTGCAGATTGTTTTTTTGACCAGAATCTAACATGGAAGGTGGTCGCTTCCATTATGTCCCAGTACGCCCCACTGACAGAGTGCACTCATGCTGGGAGAGACCAGCGTGAGATCAAGGGCACTGACAGTATCACCTTCTCTGTCAGGGATTCTGGTGGGTCTGCCGATTCAAGCAGATTAAATTCGTGTCTGTTAGTGCTTCCTTCAGTGCCTCGTTCTGTTTATTGACCGTCGGATTGCCCCATAGACGACCTTTGGCATTGAAGTCCCCACACATAATGTATAATACTTGACTACAGAGTTGTAGTTTCTTCATAGAATCAATGCTTGGATGTTATTAAAAATTTAGTAAAGATTTCATCTGGAATAGAAGTGGCATCTCCCTGCTGACCAAGCTAAATGTTTACAGAGCTGTAATTTTTCCCAGTACTGCTCTATGCTTTCAAAAACATGGACTGTGTATCAGTGCCATGCTAAATAGTTGAATCAGTTTCATATAACTTGTCTCAGAAAGCTCCTCAAAATGAAATGGCAAGATAAGATCCCATATACTATGGTTGTTGATAGGGCAAACCTGCCTAGCATCCATACGATACTGAAGAATTATCAGCTGCGTTGGGCTGGTCACCTAGCCTGCATGCCAGACTATTGCCTCCCAAAGAGAGTATTTTATGACCAGCTCCAGCAAGGGAAGAGGTCCCAGGGCACTATAAGAGTGTATTGGACACTCTTAAAACCGTTATCAGTTCTTTTGGCATCAACACAGCGACATAGGAGGCTGCTGCACAGGGCCGTTCTGGATGGCGTACATCCCTCATGTATGGTGCATCAGCCTGTCAGGCAGTGGAGGTTGCACAAGCAGAGAAGCGGAGCTAGACTAGAAAGAACCTCAGTGCTAATCCCACACTTACTGTGGCTTCCATCTGTTGTCTGCACTGCTTGAGAACCTTCCAG